CAAATGCATGACAAATGAGGAAATTGCATGGAATAGGCCTTCGTTATGTTAAATATAAGCTCAACAACATTACCAAAGACTATAGTGCAACAGTTCGGAGGAATAATTAGCTGTTTTTTTTAAATGGAATTGTTTTTGGTCATAGAAACGGTTATTCCCCTTGGCGAGACTTATCACTATGCATAGCTCCTTCTTGTTTTCGCTTGCGTCGCCTATGCATCTGAGATGAAGTCGGGCATAGTGGAGGGGGAGGGGGTGGCTAGCCCTAGACTCGAGAGCTAGCGTCTAGAGTCCGGAGGTCTTCCTAGAAATTCAAATCAGAGCAAAGCTGCGCTTTTATGCATTCCATGCCGATTCCATGTTTTGCTTGGACAAGCTGAGCGACGGCCCTCTTAACACGGCGATGACGCCACTTCTTTATTCTATTTCGTATAACAAGACCCCGCCGCCGCTCTCCTGTACACCCGGACATGTTCGTGACCGAGAAAAATATGCTTTCTGCCATCTTTGGTCTTTGGAGGCGGAAGGGCTTCCTGACGCAAACAGCCGGCCACTCCACTCTCCTCCACCCCCTTCCCAACCCTTGGCCTCTTATCCTTCTTCTCTTACCCGACCTGCTGCCACGCCCCGCCAAACCCACGCCACACGCCACCCCACCCCGCCCCGCCACGTTCCCGCAGCCTATTATTTGCCTTGGCCGCGTATTTGTGGATGGTCGTCAAGGGGCGATCGGATCCAGGGGCGAATTTTTTGCCATTCCCTCGTCCCATTTCTGGAAGTTATGCTCCAAAGCAAACGGATCGAGCCAGAGGCCGGGGTGTGGCTCACCCACCACGCCCCGCCACGCCACCGCGCCCTCATTTACCTCCTGTTGCTTCACGTTGCCAAGTGTGGGCGGGCGGGGTGATTTGGACGTCTTCCGTTTCGGGCAAATAAACCTCCCAGCAGGTGGCACAAAAAATATTTTCTTAAACCTCATAAAAGGAAAGGGAGATACAATATTGGCAGTTGAAAAGGGAGGCTTTGAGCTGAGCAGCCGGGCCCTTTTGTCCGGCGGCGCCACGGGAGCGCCTCAAGAGGACAAGGGTTGTGCGCAAGGACACGGACGCTCGCACGGCGCAAACAGATTGTGTGCTATATACGTCCAGAGAGGGAGGTGGGGGCTGATGTTTGTACATGGACCGCACTCACAATCAGGACCCGGAGGTGCGAGCAGTCACCGGCAGTCGGCAGTTTGTGTAGGGTCAACTCTCACAATCAGGACCCGGAGGTGCGCGCAATCGCCGGCAGTCGGCAGTTTGTATGGGCAGCTCTTACAATCAGGCCCGAGGGCCCCGAGCCGCGTGGGTCGCGCAGTCACAGGCGCAGGGCTGAGCGTGCCAGGAGAACAGGACCGCCCGCACCACGCCACGCCACTCTCCGGTGATAAGCCCTATTGTAGTTGGGCTCTGCTGTGGAGCACTCCGTGGGCCGAACACCAAGGGCCCCGTGCGAGGCAAGGCCAGGGACCAGCGGGGGCGGGCGGCCTCAAAGTGTCGAGGGTTTAGAATGAACTACGACCCTGCTGGTCCGGCTTACGCATCTGCCAAGACGAGAGGGAGCACTGCTTTGACGTGGTTGGCACCTACCTCTGACGGGTGCTGGTGGCGCTGTGGCTGGCTGTGGCGGCGGGGCTCGCTGGCGGGCAGGGCGGGTGCAGGCGGTGCGGGGCGGGGCAGGGCGGGCGGCGGCGGCACTACCAGGGCCTGCAGGACCTCGAGGAGGACAGGAGGAGCTCGGCCGGTGGCACGCGACACATAGAGGGTTCGCGCCAATGCGGACGCGCCTTTATTGGCTGCGGGTGGGTCCTGCGGGCCGGCGGGGCGTGGTGGGGGGAGCGCCAGAGCGCCACCCTCCCGCCGGCGCCCACCCCGCAGGCCCCCCGCGCCACCACCCTACCAGGCCCGGCAGCTAGAATTCTACCTAAACACTTTTATAAAATCTTATACAACATTGTACTAGATTTTGTAAAAACGTCTGTAAACCTCTGTATACAGTTTTACCAGATATATTAAACATTTATAAAATTTCATTTAAAAAATTATAACAGTGTACACCTTTTAATTAAATTTTATAATTTTTTATGATTTTTTATAAAATTTGTGTACAAACCATTTTTACCTGGGAACAGGGACCTACCCGGGCACTCCAGGAGTTGTGGGTGCGGGCGTGCGTACCTGGAGGGCAGTCCGATCAGGGAGGGATCACCCAGAAAGTTTACGCCCTCCACTCGCCGTTACGAAAACGGCAAGTTCAGCCTTTGCGCCTTTGCGAGCTCTCATGCTCATGGCGCCTGGGAGGTCGGCAACACCCTGTCTGCAGTGCATGCGTGTATTGCGGGATGGCCTACCCCGAGTCTCACAGGCGCCGAGCTCCCATAATTTGCAGATCTCATCTGGGAAAAGCGGACTTTCTATCTGGACTGGACGTTTCCTAATCGGGGAGATAACTGTGAGATAACTGGGACATGCGACTTTACTTACATTACAAGCGCATCACGCAATCACATTCGTCTGAGAACTCGCTCAAATATTGCTTCTTTTTTTGCACCTTTTTTTAGGAGTTTTTAAAACTCGGCGCTGGTCGGGTCACCGCGCCGGGCGCAGCTCCGGTGTCGCGACGCCCCTGCGGCACCGGTGCAACGGGACGCCCGCCCACTGCCCCATCCATCAAGCGCCGTGGAGGTGAGGTGCAAGAGTGTTTTGCATTTCATCCTGCATAACACAGAATATTACGCTTGAAACTGGTGTAAGGGGACGCCGGCCCACTGCCCCAGCCTCATCCATCAAGTTGCGTCGGCTTAAGTAAGTGCAAGAGTGTCTAGCATTTTCTCCTGCATAGAATCTCTCAGTTGAAACTGGTGACCCAGGACGCCTGCCCACACGCCAAGTGAAATCACGCGCCGTTCGCTACCGCCCCTACCGCAAGTGTTTCTCCACTTCCATAGGAGCGAGAGGGGAAAGTTTTATTGCAAGTTTACCGCGCTTGTGCTCATCTCTTGTCTCACAATTTAAGGTGCCCCTACAGCATGAACCGTGAACCGTGGCCCATGGGGACATTCCCGAAGGAAACGTTGACTGAGATGTGGCAGCGTGAGGTCCCCGTAGAACTTCGCCTCCACAAACGTTCATATCAAGGCCAAAGCCAACCGGACGCCAACTTTACCTGGCGTTACCTCGCATCGCAAACGTTCCCGCAACTACGGGAACGTTTCGTTGCGGGGGCACCTTTCTTCTTCCCGCCCAGGCCCCCTTAGCCCACGTCCCTCTCGGCGCGGGGGTGGGTGTGTGTGGGGAGCCGGTGGGGAGGGAGGGGAGTAGCGAGAGGGGTGTCCACGGGTGACCATTACAGTCCATCTTCCCCCCGCTAATGACCGTCCAGAGCCGGCAGCTGTCCACACCAAAAGACGACGCCTGCGCTGCTCAAGGCTGGAGGGGCTGCCCTACCCCCCCCCCCCCCCTCCACAGCCTCTACTCCATGCGGGAGGAACTCGACAATTTCTTCCGCCGCGCCTCTGGGCGTCGCACCCTTCCGGAGTGTGAGACCCGTCTCGGGCTGTAGGGGCTCTACGCTCCGTTTTCAGTGAATATGGCAAATGCCAATAAGTGAAATGAAACGATTTCTGCCAATAAGCAAACAGATTCGGGCTGCTGATGGATAGCGATATAACAAGACAGGTGTACAGATGTTTAGCTCAATCAACTAAAACCAAAATAAAAGCCCTGATATCGCCGAATTCCTATAACTTATTCGCCTTTAACGGTTATTTTAATTTTGTCGGTACTGCCTACACATCGATTTTCCATGCGTTCAGATTTTGAAGGCATCAATCTTCACCTTCCGCTGTTCATTTCAAGTGCAAATACAGAATAAAATGGACCTGAAAACAAAGATAAACCTGACACTAAATTGCACCAGTACACCAGTACCCACTAACAGATTTGTAGCTTTTATTTGTACACAAAGTTGCGCGTACGTTTCATTCGCACAAACTTTGTGCGATGAAGTGCATGTTTTTATGCATACGTACGCACAAATTCGTACATATTTGCGCACAAATTCGTGCGAATCGGAATGTATGCGCAACTTTGTGCAAACGTTTGCACAAAAAACTACAAATACATTTAGTGTGTATATTCATCTCCTTGACCTTCGTTAGCAAAATCTTTCTTCGAGACTGGAGACAAGGTATTAACAGTCCTTTTGGCTTATTCTGCCATGCGTCTTCCAGTATCCGCGTAATCCTTGCGCTCAGCCTTGGGAAGTAATGAAACTCTTCCAGTATGGCCTCGCGGTGGGTGAAGTCAGTAATTTAATTGTTAGGTGTCTCTGCACAGGGGTCCCTACGGCCACCGCGGTACCGGGAGACTGCGGTAGTCTTCGGGATAAGGATCGGGTTCACAGACCTCCAAGTCTCAGTGGCGCGCAATGGGGCGCACTGGTTGCAGTGCAGCGGGCCCGCCCAGCCCCGCTCCGCCCCGCGATGTGAGAGTGAGCGGTCATCGCCTCATTGTCACGATTTACGTGCCCGGGCTAAGCGCTGCCAGCGCAGGGGGGGAGGGGGAGGCGGTGCTTAACAACAAACTGATGGCCATTTGGAGGTCAGTTTGGCGATCTTTACGACCGCGAGCCCGCCTGACTCGCGATTAGCCATTTCGCCAGGATGCATGACGGCGGCGTGGCTCTGTGTGGCCGGGATGGATGGGGTCCCACAGAAGGGCGTCGCAAGCCTAGCTAGCGCAGCTAGCGTCGCACGCAGCCAAGTCCGCTGTTTCTTTCTCGTTTTTATTTGTACCCGGATCTTCATTTGGGTATGATTCTAGGATTTACCCGGGCTGCAGTCCGGCAGTGCTGTACTTAGCCCCTCCCCTCTCCTCCTCCCCTCCGTCTCCGCCCCTGCTGTCCGCAAAGACCCATGCATGATGGAACACAATGTCCAGGACGTCGGGAAGACGACATGCCCTATTAACATACAGGCCGTGGGGAAAAACATGATGGGGGTAGATGAATACGAAACCAGGGGGCGTTGGTGATGCAGGAAAGAGCGAGAGCAAGAAGTGGATGGTCCGGGACGTTGCTCCCTCGTGGGGTCAGCGAGCGAGAAGAAACAGGAGCAGGGAGCGAGCAGGGGCAGGAGGAGATCAAGGAGTTGGAGCAGGAGCGGGAGCAGGGGCGGGAGCGAGCAAGGGCAGGAGCAGGAAGCAGGAACGAGCAGGGGCAGGAGCAGGAACGAGCAGGGGCAGGAGCAGGAGCAGGAGCAGGAGCGGAAGCGGGAGCGTGAACGGGAGCAGGAGCAGTACAGGGTCAGGGACGTCGATCAGGGGTAGGCAAGCAGAAGTGGAGTGGGACCGGAAGCGCCGGGAGCAGGAGCTGGCCATCATCCGGGCAGGGTGTCTTTCAGAAGAAAAGAAAAATATGGGTTGGGTTGTAAGAATAAAAAGGACTTTCTGATTTGCGTCACGTGTCTGCGTACTTCGGGACGGCACTGCGACCCTGGTGGTGGTATGGAGGTCCATGGGCAAGGCCCCTGCGGCTGCGGCAGTCGGACAGTCGGACTGGCAAATCGTCAACCCACGTCCACGTCCACGTGGCTCGCCGCTACCAAAAAAAGTAATACGTACAGAAAAGAAAAGAATTGCGGTTATTTCCACACAGGCCGGCCCCCCTGCCGGGGATTTGCAAACTTGTGTGCGAGCCCGTTGTTTGGAAATAAGGCCGAACCTGATTGCAAATGATATGGGGCGGCCGTGATTACGGGTGGTCATCAGAACACCTTGTGGCGCTGTCCGGGCTGGGCCGGGCTGGACCAGGCCGCAGCACCGCGCCGGCCTCCCGGGCTCCAATAGGGGTCCCATTCATCGGTATGGTAGGGAAGGACGAGTGGACCGGCTCCGGCGCCGCCCCGGCGACCTGCAAAAAAAAAGAAGCTTTGAAACACCCACTGCTGCTGCGATTCAATTCAAAAGAGCCCCACGGGTTGCCCGGGTTGCCCTATGCCGGCGGCATGACAGCGGCCTCCCCAACGTCCTGCCGAGGCCTTCCCCGCCCCCTTCCCCCCGCCCGCCCGCCTGCCTGGCCGTGAGCGGCGAGAAAAGATGAGCCGCCTCCGAGGGGCGGGCGGGGACGGGCGGGCGCCATCAATTGGACAATAATTGGGCCGATTAGTGCGGCCCTTGGCGCAGCGGCGGTGGCGGCGGCGGCCGGCCGGAGCGGAGCGCGACCCCCGTGACTTACGACCTACGCCCCTCCAGAGCAGAACCTCCCTCCTCATCCTCGTCCGCCTGCCGTCGCCACCTCTCGGACGCCTCTGAACGCCCGCCGCCCGGCGCCCGCCGCCACCGCGAACCCCGCCCGCGGCCGCCGCCTGCTCCCGCTGGACTATCGCCCTTCAAATTCCTAATCTCGAGACGAGCGCCGCCGCCGCTGCTGTTTGGAGCAGCGCCTGACGGCCGCGCCCTAGCCGCGCCCCGCTGCGCCGCCGCCGCTCATCTAAAAACTATTACCACCCCCGCGGTATACAATAATTCGACGCTGACGTCATGACGTCACCCCCCTCCCTCCCCCCACCTCTCCAAGTCCCTCCCCGGTGGGTGGTGGTGGTGGTGTTGGTGGTGGTGGATGTAGGGAGAAATCGGGGCTCTTATCTTCTGAATTAAACGCGGTGTCCTTCCTGGCCGCGGAGATCAGAGACCACGCTCTCTGATGTACGGGTGTGGTGAACGTCACTGTTATCATGGCGGGTGACGGGGTGACGGCAGATCTCAGGACGAGTTCCTTCTCTCCCCCCCCCCCCAAAAAAAAACAACACTCTTTCCCCGACTTAGCGGTGGGTGTCAGCGGCTGGCGCCCGTCGTGGCGCCTGCTGAGGGTTTTCCAGCTGCGTTGGTTTTACCGTTTTACCCCACCACATCGAGTCACTTCCTGAACCAGATCTTTTGGCGGGAGTCCGAACTGGCATCGCATATGTTGTATGATAAAACAGACTGCGGTCACGATCACGCCAGCACTGGCATTTAAATATATTTCTTACACTTGCTGTGCCCTTTTGCAATAGTCCCTCGTTCGAAAATTTTAAGAAACCTTGATAAATCCGAGCACTACGATGCACAGCGCACGGGCCGAATTTGAAATGAACCGCACTGGCGCCACAAGCAACCGGATGCCAACGAAAGTGGCCTCTGATTGGTTGTGCTTTTGCGTGATAGTGTTAGTGTGTTGATGTGAATTGAGTGTGTTTGTATGTGTGCAAGTGAGTGTGTGTGAGAGTGTGTGTATACGTTGGATGCTAGTGCTCTTCATGGGATAAATTTTACTTAATTCACTGTGAGTAAGTTTGTGGCTGTCAAAATACACAGCTCCTAACACAAGTCTTCGCTATGGTTTTCGGTTTGAACGAATGTTATCCGTGAGAAAGGATTTAGTTGCCATGATTTCGTAGGTCGAAATGTGCGGCCGTCCGTATGGCACGTTTTCTTGGCAAGCTGTTCTGTTTTCGTGACTAAAAATAACATTAGCAGCCGTTAACACTGAATGTTATACTCTCAAATCGATCTAGGTGTGTTGCCATTGTGTTTTTCAATTAAAATCCTAAGTGTCCGGGCGTTTGAGACGCTAAAAGTGAATATATCGCATTTAAAACTTACTGTTGATTGTCAACCAAGGTGGTTACGAATGTGGAGAACTTCTCTCAAGTACTGCGACGTCAGTCTTAAGACATGCACTTCGTAACATTGAAATTTATGACGGCTGTGTTTAATCTGATCATAAACGACATTTATACACAAAGACCTCTCGAAAGGTCAAATTTCTTCGGCACCCGGAAAGTGCGCGTTAAAGTGAGGTTATCTCACCAATGTATGCCCCCTACCGCGTAGCCGGACCACCGGTTTTACGAGAACTTATCTTCGAAGACCGGTGTATATGTCAATTGAATCCGGAGCCGCGCTGATGATGTTGAAGTTGTATGTCCATCTTTGGTGGAGTTTTTTCAAATTGACTTCAGTGGATTGAGTTTTGGTTCTTAAGGGGTATAGGGTTATGGTGCCCATGGTTTTCGTGAAGGTTAGATGCATGCCGTGTGTTGTTGATAGCCTTGCGACCGTTTTGTTCCTATAATTTAACCAAATTATCGTGTGAAGCACAGAAAATGTATCTAAATATTTAAAATGTTGTCATAGTTTGAATGTCAGTTGTATTTCTCAATCAAAATTCAAAGTGGGCTATGCTGCAATTAGTGCTTACAGGGCAGCAGTCAAGGTCCAATGGTTTATTTTTTTCCTCTTTGTTTCGTTTGCCTAGTATCTGATACTTACCTGATTTGAGTTGGCTTGCAGGTTCTCAGAGTCAAGTTTACTTTGTTTCGTTATGAATGGCTTATCATTCAATATTTGTTTACAGGGGAAGCCTGATTCATTATGGAGACTGGGCTTCTCAACTTTCACGATGAAGAAACTTTTGCAACTTCTATTTATGATCAGGTTATAAAGAGTGTGATCTCTTTTTCATTACTTTAGCCCCCTAAAAAGACATTTAAGTTTATTATGTTTTATATTTTTAGGGAGACTTCAGTGGAGTTGATGGTCAAGGTTCTCTCCTTGATATGATGCATAGTGATCTCCAGTACAGCTCAGACTATCTTAATCAATCAGCTGTACATTGGGACTCAGACCAAGAACAAGAGTAAGTTTATATAGTATCAATTCTTTGCTTTAGTTTTCTTATTTTCAATCTAAAACTATTTAATTAATTTTTTATTTTATTTTTAAAATTTTTAGACACAATGGCGATTTGGCTGTGTTACCAGTTGCTCCCTCTGAGTGTAGTAGCCTCAATAGCAGCAGGGAAGAGTATAACAAATCATTATTTGATTGGCATGACAATCTCCTTCCGGTATGATGGCCCTAAAACACATATTTTTTCTGTATCTATCTTGTAGCATCTGATGATTTTCTATTTCTTTTAATTCTATTTTCCCACTAGCCTCTTGACCCTGACGGAGTTGATTTACGTTTGGATGGACAAGTGATTCCCTCTGAACTACCAGAAAACATATTTGAAGACTCATTTGAATCAAATTCAAGTGTACTTAGTAATTTACATAAGTCAAGGTATGTCGTAAAATAATTTTCTGTGGAATAATAAGTTAGTTATTTTTCTTCTCTGACTCGTGAAATTTATTTTTTCAGTTTATCTGGTCCTCTTGCAAGGTGTAGCACACCAAACCAATGTCCTAAAGAAACAACTGTCTCATCAGACGGAAGTTTAAATTTAGATGTATCTTTGTCAGCTTTAGATGTTAATGTATCAGACATAGATGTATCGGCACTTGGCATCAACGTCTCATCTCTAGATATTAAAGCAGATGGGCTGGATGCAGAAGTTAAGTCCCTTACGCCACCAGTGGTGTTAGACCAGCCTGAAGTAAGTGAGATAAAGTTAGGAACAGTCGCAGAGGCAGAAGATCTAGTTCTTCCAACAAACATGCCAATGGTTCAAACTGAAGCAAGTGCTGTGGAAGATTCTGAATTTGCAGCTTTGTTTGGGCCTCCTGAAGGACCTTTACCTTTCCAAAGCAATTCTGAGCCAAATTCTCTTCTGCCACCCTTCTCAGATTCAGAAAAGTATGTGTCACCTTTCCCATCTTCAACATTAAGATTTTGAGTATAGCTCTTGAGCTGCATTGAATTCTCTTTTACCTTGTTCACTTAATAGCCCTCAAATACCAGTCCCTAAAATGGAAAATGCTGATGTTGAGCAACTTCATGACATTGCAATGGAATTCATTCAAGAGCAACAGGCGGCACAAGCTTGGGACAGCTTGCCTATGTTGGATGCTCCATTGGATTCAAATGTTGACTTAGACTCAATCAATACTGAAGTACCAGGTATAAGATTTTCCAACTTTAAATGGGTGTGATGTCTTTATTCAATCTTCTGTAAAGTGAATTTTGTTCAACTTTTCAGTGCTAGAAGCTGGAAATTTAGAGTCTCTTCTTGAACAGTTTGAAGCAACTCTACAGCCAGCTCCTGAATTTACTCAATCTATGCCAGCTTCTCCAGCTCACTTTTCTGTCCCACCATCACCTCTCTCCATGCCTGCCTCTCCTTCATGCATAATGCCATCTCAAGTACTCCATACTGTTGCCTCCAAATTATCTCCATTACCCTCTCCTTTACCTTCCCCTTCCAAGTCTAAATCAGAAGCATGCACACCCAAGAAAACTTCCTCACCTTCAAAGGGAGTGTCGGTACTTCATCAAAATATTCTTGAATCACTGCCTTCAGAAATCATGGATAGGATAAAGGTAATGTACAATACAGTTTTATTTTTGATTAACTGAAAAAACAATTTTTGTAACAATCTTTTGATTAAAATTCAGGCCTCTGGGCGTAAGAAGACTATACCACTTATTCCAGCAATGCCAAGCAAAAGACCCAGCAAATCCAGTACAAGAATGCATGCTGCTGGGGCAACCCTGAGTAAAAACAAATTGTTGAAGTTAGTTGCTCGTAAAGGAAGTCCTGGTGAAAATATCCAGCTTGACCATGATTACTGTAGCAATGATTCTTCCAATCATGTAGAATTTGTGGTGAGTATTCTCAATCAACTGCTCTTTAATCTCTTAACTCTTAACTGAATAATAAATTTCCACCCTTGTATTGTAGCCTGAAAAATTAGTAATGGACATTAAAGCAAGCACAAGACAAAAAGAAGTGGATGATGAAAAATCCTCACGCAAAGATAGTGGACTTGAATCAGGAGAAGATAGTGAAGGTACTGCTATCTCCTCAGCTTCTGGTGCTGCTTGCGATTTGGGGAGTATTGTACCCAAGGCAAATGCAAATAGTATCCTAAAACCAAGAACTCCAAACCAGCCTGGCCGAAACAAGGAAATGTTAATGGTCTCTGTTCTCAAAAAGGTCCGATGTGATACCAAGTCTCCTGCAAAACAAGTTTCTCTATTGCAACAAAAACCTAAGGAAATTCCCAAACGCCCGCCTGTCCAGCATGTTAAACAGGAGCCAAGCAGTGTTCTTAAACCAGCTGAAGTTCTTCTGAAATCTGTCAAAAGTCAGGTCAAGAGACCCCTTGTTCAAAATGTTATGCCAGTGAAAAGTACTGATGTGTCCTCTCTATTAAGCCAACAATTATGTTGTAAGGCATCTCCTAAAGAAATCAGCCTTGCTCCTGTCAAACCATCTGAAACTCATGTAACATCTGATAAGGTACAAGTTAAACTTGAGCCCCAGGAAGTTTCTGGAAAATGTGCAGCACCTGTAGAAACCTTAGTGGTAAAAGCTGAAGTTCAAGTTCCTGTGAAACTTCCAGAGCAACCTAAAAAACGCAAACTCAATTTAGAAGAGTACCACAATAGGCAGAAAGCAATGGAGCAAAAACGTGACAACAGTATGCCTTCTGATGAATCGAAAGCAGAATCATCTGTACAAGGTGACCAAAAGCCTGAAAATTTGATGGAACCTTCTAAATCACCATTGAAGGTAGCAGATGTATCAAATCAACAAGTGGTTGTGAAAAAGGAAACACAGAAGAGTGATTTGCCATCTCAAATATCCCAGAAGGCCTCTCCCACAGTTGTGAAAGTAGAAAAAGATGTGGATTCTGTACCTAGACCTACTCTTCCAAATGTTAATCCTACTGATAATGTCAAAGATGAGAAAAATATTGAGGTGGGTTCTAATACTGTTAGTACTACACAGAAAGAGACTGATGTTAATCCTAAACCAACTGAAGAAAAGAGGAAGCAGCGCCAGTATCGAACTAGACGTCTTAGTACTTCTAGCAGTGAGGAATCTCCTCAGAAAAAGGAAATCAACAGGTCAAGGTATGTTGATTCAGTTTAGAATTGTGTCCATGTTTTTGAATTACTATAATTTGTAATATTTCTGGGCAAAAGGTGGTGTATCTTTTATGTTCATGTTGAGCATTGTCTGTTTTTCTTTCAGCAGAAAAGAAAATGGTCGCAAGAGTACAGTCTGGTCCCCACCAAGGTCAAGATCCAAGTCAAAGTCTGTGTCTCCTTCAAGCTCTCGTTCTAGGTTGGTTTTTTATTTGCAATTTCCTTCAAAGTTTTGCATTTGTGTCTGTAAGTTTTGAGTGTTTATATCATAACTACTTCGTATAATTCTGTGTATTTTTATGTGTAGGAGTGCCAGCAGCACTAGTGAGAGCTGTTGCAGTAGTAGCAGTGATAGTTCGAGCAGTAGCAGTGGTAGTATTAAGAGCAGCCCAAAGAGGAGGAAAACAAGGCAAAGGAGGCGAAAGAGGACAAGTGACAGAAGCAGCAGCCGGAGCTCGTCCAACTCCAGCCGAAGAAGCAATAGCATCAGTAGTGGCTCCAGCCGCCATAGCAGTCGTCGGTCCTCACGGTCAAGAAGACGCTCACGGTCTAGGTCAATGAGACGCTCGCGTTCGCGGAGGGACCGCAGTGGCAGCCGCAGTACTAGTCGGGGACGTGGTCGAAGGAGCATCAGCTGGAGACGCATGCGGAGGGACTCCAGCAGGAGCAGAGGCAGTGGAAGTCTCAGGAGGTAAGCAAACAAACACAGGTGGTGTGCAATATTCTTAGTAATTTCCTCTCAAAATAAATCTAATCTTGCAAGACCTTTGTCAAAGTGAAAGTTCTCTCTTGTTGAACTGTATAAATTGACTAATTTTTTCTTTGTTGATGATTTCTAAAACACAACATTGTCTTCTTCTGTAGTACCCTGTCACTATTTAACACATGATTTCCTCCTGTAAGATGTATTAAAGTGAGGGACTGGTACTGTTTTAGGGAGCGCAGCAGAAGTAGGAGCAGACGTGGGGGATCTTGGAGCAGTTGTGATAGATCTTGGTCCGGTTCTCGCTCACGTTCTCGTTCTTGTCGACGACGATTCACCTCTAGGTCAAGGTCCGGATCCCGTGCTAGACGCCGTTTCAATTCTTACTCCTCTCGATCGGAATCTAGGTCTAGATCGAGATGCTGGTCCAGTCGGTCCAGGTCTTACTCTTCGAGCTCTAGGTCGTCCACTAGGAGTCGTGATAGAAAGAGGGATGAGCGGAGGAGAGGAGAGAGGAGTGTCAAAAAGTTACGGAGGTAAGACAAATCAAAATGTGTATTTGAAGATTCAGTCCTCGGTATCTGCTCTTCCAGCTGTGTCCCACAACATAAACTTGTGTGCGGTGTGGTGCTGTGGAGCTAAATGTTACACCGGATAAGGGTGATCTACCACAATTCTGATAACTTGAGTATTTTGGGAAAACATTCTGTGTTGTATGGTTTGTTTGTTATCATTGAGGCTGAGTACCCTTCTTCTCAGGTTGGGGTGATGGTACACTAATGAAGATTTTTCAGTATTCCTCTCCTTGTCCTAGCACCGTGTGAGCTAAGGACTGAATAATAGGATAAAGGATTCACTACTGGTTTAATTTTTTTATTGATTTCATAGAGTTTTATTTCATGTTATATACTACTTCTGCTAGAATATGTATTGGTTGAATTATGTCTTGCCTTGCATGTGCGATTTAAATGGTCTCTTTATCTCTTATCTAACCTGTTTTTTCATTTAATTCTTTTCACAGATCTCGTTCACCTGTGCGTAGAAATGTTGATTGGACTCGAGTTGAGAAAGAACATAATCGTCAGGTGGAAGAAAGGCGAGTGATTTACGTTGGCCGAATACCTGAGGATACAACTAAAGCTGAACTTAGGAGAAGATTCGAGGTGTTTGGGCCAATTGTTGACATAAGCTTACACTTCAGAGAACATGCGTAAGATGCCACCTATACAAGATTTTGTGCTGTTAATGATGTTCATATCAATACTAAGTATTAACTTCTCATTTTCCGTTTAGGGACAATTATGGCTTTGTTACTTTTGCCTACAAAGTGGATGCATATGAAGCTGTTGAGCGTGGAAATGATGATCCCACCCAACCACCTTATGAATTATGCTTTGGTGGAAGGCGCAAGTTTTGCAGGGAGCGATATGCTGACCTTGGTAATTTTAATTTATTCATTGTTGTTTCTCCTTTCTATTTGTCAAATTGGTTTCTTACTGCATTTTTCCTACAATTTCATTGTTTTATTTGATTTGTTTTCCTGTTGTACAGATGGAATGGCTTGTAATAAAACTTCCATTAGTATGGGAGTTCCTCAACTACGACGATCAAGTGATGGAAATTCATTTGATGACATGCTGAGAGAAGTGCAAGCAAAACTTCAAGCAAGGAAAAAACTTTGACATTGGAGCTATGTTATTAGTTTGATAGTAGTGATAGCAAGGGTTCAGTTGTAACCAAATATTACTGTATGCAGCATTGTTACCTATGAAGAAGCACTGAGGTGGATTATAACAGTGTCTCATACACCCCCAATTTTGGCCAAAATATTAATCTTGACGTGTTTGGTTTGGTGGTTTTCTGTTAAGTTTGAGCTTTGCCACTGTAGATGGCATTATTTAATTGTTAATAAATGTCAATGATTTCAATGATATAATTTTCCTCTCAATTTGGTGGTAAAGGAGTGCGTGTTTATTTCAGCCAAATATTCATTGCATTAATTTCTAATTGTAAAAGATGTATCAGATACGTACTTGATTTGTAAACTCAACTTCCCTCAATGTGATCTTTGATTACACCTCAGTGCTCCAGGATAGTACAAAGTGGGAGATACCCTAAAGCTGTTTTTGTTCACAAATATTTATATTAAACTTTGAAAACCGTGTATTGGTAACCATAAGCGCACTAAATTTAATAGTGCTAGTGCTGCATATCTGCAAAGATCATTTCTGCTTTGTTTATATTTTACTTTTCCATGGTTTTATTGTTCTTATCACCAGGCTCAATAATCGACTTTTGTGAATATTCTTAAGTATTGCTTTGATTTGTGTCAAGCCTTATGACAAGAAGCTTTGTTTTATTATTTTTAATTTTATATGTGTTTTGTTTTTAGTTAGTGTAAAAAATGGTTTTGTCATTGAGGTGTTGTGTACTATATACATACTATGCTTTTGACAACAACAGCTCTAGTGAACAAAATTTGTAGAAGTGAATTCAATTTTCAACTGGTGTTGTCTGCTTTGTAGTACTTTAGGCACATTTGAACTTGTCGATTATAATTTATTTCCTCTTATTTTCTTTTCAAGTTGAGATGGTGGTGAGAATTGATTACCTAGGTTATGAATGAACCAGCCATACTTTTAGGGATTCCTCACCACTTTGCAAAACAGATAATTTATCTTTATGTTCTTAAGAAGAAAAAAAATGACATTTAGTTCACCTTTTCTTAAATTTTGATCTTCACTTGGGTTGTATAACCCATATTGTTCTTAACTGTTTAAAAGACATATCCTATTGCCACTACATCAGTGCATTGCTAGTCTCAAGTCATTGGAATTATAAACGTTCCTACGGAGAGAGAAATCACATGTCTCATACGAATTTCAGTTGCTTGGATAGCCATAACACCTAGTTTTTGTCTGAGAAAAGTCCAGTCTCAGAGGAGGTGGAATGTATCTAGATGTTTTAACTAGTTTGCTGGATGTGAAGTTGATGTACTGAATGAAACAATACTTTCAAGCTGGAATATGCTAGAATGTTGTATGTGCTTGACTAATGCAAGTTATTTAATATACATTTAAAGGACGTCTTAAGGGAATTTAAAGTAACAAATAAATCTGAGTTGCTCTTGGTTCTGTGGGTTGTAAATGGGGTTTAGTCCAGTAATACTTACTTTATTATCATGTTTTCGTAATATACTGTAACTGCAAAGTTCTTTCTGCTCGTGCTAATTAAGCTGTAATCAAGTGATTGCAATTTTGAAAACTGGTGTAATTGAAGTATAACATTTTGCTGTAGGCTATGTCTGTGATGTTATGTTTGAGTGGGTGTTGAATAAGTATGCCAATCTGTGTTATTATTCTTTTACCGGTTATCTTTATCTTATGCACAAAGTTTATCCCTCATTAATTATGAAAAGTATCTTGTGTAGAAGCCTACACAACTATGTGATTGTATTCTTTTGACGTGTAAGTGGTTTGGCATTTGAAAATAATTACCTCTGTCAGAGATGTAAGCAGTCAATAGCTGGCTCGCATACTGGCAGTTAAATTATCTTTCCTTCCAAAATGTGGTATTTTTAAACTGGAAGTTGAGGTATGTGTTGTTTTTTCTTGAACCAAGAAAGAAATTGCTGTACATTACGTCCATACTTCTGCAAAATCACCTCGCTTGGGTATCTGTGGATTTGGTGAATTCTGATTCTGAAGGTTATGTTACTGTTGATCCCAAGAGTCCAATATTCATGTAGAATATTCCTAAAATGCATACTCTTGTATGTACCTATTTAAAAACAGCAAATAAGGTTTGTTCTACAAGAATGCTGATATGTCATTAAGGGTTCCTTGTACAGTAAGTGCTTGTTTAAATTGAGCCAAAAGTGTGCACAGCTTTTATCAATTTCTTTGTGCTGTTTTTGAGCATTCCATCCATGTTCTTAATGCATTCAAAATTTGTGTGAGCATGTAGGCATTTATTCTACTACCGTGTCTCAAGCATTAAAATGTGTATTTTTGTGTTTTCTTTTCTTACAAAAAGTGCACTTACCATGTCTTTTGGGCTTATACTTAAAATATTACAAAAAACGAAATTCGCTTGATATATATTGAAATTGATTTTTCAAAACTGATGATTTTGTGCCTTTCTATAGTAAATAGATGTACATTGTATGACAAAACATTGAGCTTGTAGCATTGAACCCCTTTTACCTGTCTCTCTTTGTGCCCAATATAGCATTTTAATGTGGTTGTGAAGGCTGTCTTTCTGAGGTGATATATTCCTTTGTGATTGTACATATAGAATTGAAGTAAAACAATGGTACTGTATTTGAGAATTATAAATATTTGTCTACTAAAGTTTATATGACTAAGTAGCCACTTTCAAAAAAATATTTTGTCGTGAACTATAGTTAAAGCTTTTCAATTGTTCTTTAAGTAAATTTTGGTTACAAACCAAGATTTTGATTGCTTATACTCTCAATGTGCAGTATAATGGTGCAACTTTCTTGTTACTTCTTGTTTTACGTTGATTGGTTTGTTGATGATGAGCTCAGATGAAAGAAACTGTTTGGATCTTTATTGTGACTTGCACATTCTTCTAAATTACTGATGTCCTATTGGCTTATATTTTTTCTCTAAATTTGCATATTACCATTTGACTGTATTTTAAGAGCTATGCATCGACCTTTTATCGCCATTGAATCTTATAGTCACGTAGTTGACTGATTTAGCCTGTAACTCAAACTGCAATTATTTTTGACCAAGTCTGATAATATTTAATTTTGGGGTTAATACTAAGAGTCTGCTGTATATGCAATTTTACTATTAACCCTCAAAGTTTCTTTGTAAAATGGTTTGCCTCCTGTATTTTCACAAGATAAGAGTCAGCTGGGTTTAATGTTTTGTAGTGCTCCCTTGGGATCCACATACTGTGTGATATTCTGAAGCCATAGTTATTTATATCTAAGTTATTTTGATTATGCTTTGATGTTGATCAACTTGCATCTTATCATTTTCATTTTATACCTTATTCTCTGGTTTTACACTTGTAGTCTGTTTACTGTAACATATCTCAGGGCATTCTGTTTTCTGTTTTGTAACTTGCCACCATTTATCAAGTATTTTGTTGCTCTAGTTTTGCTTCTATTTCATAATAAGGTTTACTGATTCTGTTCTACATTTCAATCTCAAACCTTCTAGAAAATACCATAAAGTGTTCAGAAGACTTACAATTCTATTCTGCTGATTCTTAAATTTATTGAACGTTGTTTCTGGTACATCATGAGGCTATTAAAGCTATGTATCTAATTCATTTGCTTGTATTTTTTTTTATACTCAGTCATTTTTAAAACAGTAATCATTCTTGATATTATGCTTTGAGAGCTGGGCTAGCCGTAAATTTCTATGTATATTTCTGATGTGATTCATTTCGTAATCTACTTTAAGCTGTCAAAGAGAGACACTCAAACAAATAGAAAGAAAAAAATCACACAAAAAAGAAAAACAACCACGCGTGTATGACGTATGACAAGAGTTGTCAACAAGGAATACTTGTGTGAACTAAAGAGCCCTTCTTCCAAACCTTTTTTTTTTTTTGACAATGGAAGGGTTGTGGTTTTAACAGAATCATGGAAAGTGGTGGATTACTTTTATGTCTGCGCAGCAGTACGGTGTCAATGTGATTGTCTCTAATCATCTTGTGTTATGTTTTAGTTGTGATATAATAATAATAACTAAAAAGTAATCGCGTTGTCTGTATATTTGCTTGCGTTCCGTGCGCTCCTTTCCTGACGACCATGACCATCGCTTCTGCAGGAGGTGCCATTGTAGTCTCCAGGAGACGCCCGACAAGAGACCCCCTCCCCCCTTTCCCCCCTCTCGAGCGAGTAACTCGTAACTCGAGTAGCCGTGGGTGCGCAGGTCAGGTCCTCCACGGCGCGGCGTGGCGTGGCGTGGCCTGCGTGGCGGTCGCGGGCCCGACCCGCGGTGTAGGGAAGACCAGCTCGGCGCCAGCGCCAGCCTCGTCGGCTGCCGAGAGTGCCACCACCCCGCGCCCCGCGGCCGGTCGGTACGTGGAGCAGCAAACAAGCTGCCCGGTCCGGGGCGGCTCGTCTGGGCTCGCCGTGGGCGAGGTCCGCTCAGAGAACCCCTCCCGCTTTAATTAAGGAACAGTGCCTCGCGACCGCGTCGGACCCTCATTGGAAGAATGAATGCGGCAATACCTGTCGCCCGGGTCCCGCCCCCCGCTGCGCAGCGTAGTAAACAGAGCAGTCCCGGCGGCGCAGCGACGCAGGAACACGGGGATTATTTTTGAAGGCGTAGTAGGGGTTCCTCAAGGGAACGTCCTCCTGCACCTCCGGGCTCGCATCACTTACCCCCTCCCTCCGAGTCAGTGATGGGCCCTTGCTTGGGGGGTGGCTAGCGCGGAGCGCGGCGCCACCGCTGAAAGTAAACTTCTTCCACCACCTGCAGTTACCCCGCAGTGTGGCATGGATTTTCTAGGCTCGTGATCATCAGGATACCCGTTATTCTGCTTCCACCGTTACTCGAAATTCACTATTGATCCCTGAGGAGATCATCATTATCATTCGCCGATGACCGGGGTCGGGGTGTCCAAATTATGCGGTACCGAGCGCGTCAAAATCTTGCCGATGATGAGAACGAGCGCAATGAACTGTTGAGAGATAATTTTAGGGGGCGATTTTGCGTCGAAAAGTACAATAGAGTAGAAAACTGCTCGATCACTCCCTCTACCACTTCCATCCCTTCCCTCCCTCCTTCAATCGTCCGATGGTAAATCTCTTAAGATACACCATAGGAAAAATGATGGGGTGGAGAGGGAGAGAGAGGGGGGAGGGGTCGGACTTCCGGTGAAGGAGCACGGATCAGGATAATCAGGATTCACCGAGACGTCGAGCGGAGACGTTATCGTCCCATTGACGTCAAAGTAGGGGAGCCAGGGGAGCCAGGGGAGCCAGGAGTGTATGGCGGGCGAATGGCGCTGCTCCCCTCCCCCTCTTCGTCTGTGTCCGAGGTCAAGGCTGCATCGGGCACCAGTGCTACGACTCATGGGCTGAAGATCATCTGGGCGATGATGCACTGCAATGCTCGGCAGCAACCCCCTCCTTTTCCTCCGGCGCTTCCGGTCCGTTCGTATCCCCTTGAGCAGCAAGAGATTTTTCATAGCGAGTGATTCAGTCTCTCTTCTTTCCCTCTCCGCCCCGTCCGCCAACGCTCTGCTGTTCGGTGAGCTGCTTCCCCCTTTCAGGACGCCCCTCCGTAACGCGAGAAAATACGTTGCCGCGGGGAGACAAATTTGGCCGTTACGAGTCGCCGTTAAGACCACAGCCCCGCCCCGCTCCCCGCCCCACCCCGCAGCGCCACTCGGCTTTTATCCCCTTGCTCTTTATTTTCACAGCCATGTACCGCAGCCCCGCCGGCGACTACTGGTACGACGGGGACTTGCGGGACTTGCACTACCAGCAGTCGGCGGGGCCCGCCAAGTGTCAGCCAGGGCCCCCGGCGTACCCGTACCCGTACTACCCCTCCGCGCCGCCCCCGGTCCCAGCGCCGCCGCCCCCGCGGGCGCGGGCCGCCCCCTGCTACCCGCCGCCGCCGCCTCCGCGCCTCGCCACCTACAAGGACTGGCGGCAGGGGTGCGTCGGGGGTGGGGGAGGGTCCTAATGATGATGTACCCCCCTCCACTACCATTTTTTCCCCCTTTCGCTCTTTTGCCGCAATTAGGATTAAAAGGCCCCCGATGCCCATCTGTTGTTGCGCCGCCGTGCTTCCGCTCGCACTCACGCGTATCCTTCTGCCCCTCAGGTACGGGTACGTGCTGATCCCCGGCGCGCCGTGGGACGAGTACGCCGCCCCCGGGCCCGAGGACGTGGCCGCCTGGGCCCAGCAGGTGCAGCAGCTGCAGCAGCGGCAGCAGCCCCGGCCCAGGCTGCCCGTCGAGGAGCTGCACGTCGTCCAGCCGCTGGTGGCGCGGTGGGTGATGCGGCCGGCGTAGCGAGCTGCTAGAGTGTAACACGGCCCCGGCGCCGCCCTTGATGTCATTCATATCGCCCCCCGTTAACGGCTGACGGGCTCCTTAACGGTTCCGCTTCACCGCCCTTTAAACGCCCGACTCAATTTTTTTCCTCGCCCCGGCTGCTGCTGCTGCTGCTGCTGGTGCTGGTGGGTGTTGGCGTTGTGTGCCCCGGCCGGCCCCGCGGCGCGGACCTGGGCGTCATATAAAGTTAATGTTGCGCTGGCGGCGGGGACCACTCTGCCCGCCCCTGTCACCACTCCCCCCCCCTCCCCCAGCTCGTAATCCGAGCGCACAAAGCGCGCCGCCGCGACACACTCGCCACGCGCGCGCCCCCTTGCTCCCGCGAGCGGAGCGGAACCATCGCGTCGCACAGTGAGCTGTTAGGGGGGTGTCCCAATGTCCAATATTTGGCCCGCTGCCCGCCTCTTTATATACCAGTTGCGCCTGGAGACCCGCGCCGCGCCGCCGTTTGAGGCACTCACCGCTGCCGCTCTGTAGCAATGAGCGCGGGGGGCCTTTTGTCTCCCGGCCCCCCCCCCCGCCCCCTCAGCGCGGCGGTGCCGGTGTCCCCGCGGAGGTGAGGCAGCGGGGGGTGGTGGGCCGGCGGCCGAGGGGATCAGAGCCCCACAGCCGCCGCCTCCCCCGCGAGGCCCGAAAGTTGAAACGAATACAGCGCCTGGCGGGACCGGGCGGAGTGGAGTGGCCTGCGGTAAAAGCTAACAACTGCGTGAGGGAAGTCCGTACAATGCGAGGCCACCATGACTGTTTGTTTTTCTCTTTGCTCGGGAGGGGAGGGGGGGTGGTCAGAGTGATAG